ACAAAAAACGTATTTACCGAAATGCCATTACTATTTTATTTCCACGTCAGCACAAAAAAACACGCGCTGAAAATTAAGTCTACCATCCTTTATAATAGATTTAAAATTTTTGATAGATTTATCCAAAAATTGGTAGACATAATTTTTGGATAATAGATTTGTTGCGATGTTGGTAGATTTGTTAGATGTCGGTAGACTTATGTTGATAGAGTTATTTTTATCGTTTGGTAGAGTTAATTTTGTTGAGACATATTTGATTTTTGGTAGACATGTATGTCTTCAAAGTAGATTTATTTTCGGGTTGATAGATTTAGTGATTCTAAGTTGACTTTCAGAAGTTTTATTGACCTGAATTGGTAGACTTGTTACATCTAATGATAGACTTGTTTGTCATGAAGATAGACTTATAGGAGAAGATATTAACTCTATTACATTGTTATTTTTTATGTTATGATAGAGTTGTTTTATTCATGGTAGACTTAATAAAAAATAGTAGACTTATTATGGAGAAGTAGACTTATTTTGAGTTAGGTAGACTTATAATTCAGTAAAAGACTTTAGATGTGTGATAGATATATTTGACTATGTAATAGATATATTTGATATCGATAGACATATTGTCCAAAAAATAGATATATTTGCTAGTATAATAGACATATTCTTTTTTTGGAAACATCGATATTGGTAGACTTATTGAAATTTTGATAGACATATTGAAAATTGGTAGAGATATATCGATAATGAAGGGTAGACTTAATGCTGTGAAATGACGACTTTGTCCAGCAGTTATTATCGAATTTGCTGTTCCAACCACCGCATCCAATTATACTAGGGTACACGCCGCCATCATTTTCGTCAGTGATTTGCCTCTCTTTGCCTCTTTTGCTGTTTTTTTCTTGGTACCTCATCCTCTATCATGTCTTCTTCATGATGAAGATGATCAAGAAGAAAGGTTCGACAATTGCGATGATCCGGATGGTGCAAGCTCTAGTGACGAAGATTATGGTTTGTGTGGGAAGCATTCTGAAGATGAAGAAGACATGCAAAACCTGCCACCAAAGAAACGCGGTTCAGCAAGAATGGATGATTTTGTGGAGCTGGAGATGAAGTCTATGGAATTAGCTGTTGGGCAATGTTACGAGACCAAAGAGGAGTTCGAAACGAGATTGAAGATTTATGCAGTTGCAAACAAAATGGACTACGACGTCGGATACTCAACACCGATGTTATTGACGGTTAAGTGTTGGGTGGGAGGATGTAAATGGAGGGTTCGAGCTTCCTCGGTTGGAGATAGGCCAGAGTTCTATGTGAAAACTTACTATGGTGTTCACACATGTTCGATCACAATGCGGTCTTCACATGCCCGACAAGCAACACCGGAGATATTAGCACGTCTTTACAAGGATTTCGTAGGGGGTGTAGGTAACACCATAACCCCAAATCACGTATCTGATGCTCTAACCAAACGATATGGAATCAAGGTAAGAGATAGAATGGTAGACTTATAACTTTTTCTGATAGAGTTTCAATGTAGTTTAATAGATATGTTCAGTTTCGATGGTTTTTAGATAGATTTATGCTTTACTTTTCTAATTTTTTAAAAGCCCAACGACCCCACGGATAACTCTCGAATGCATCTTCATCCAACACTCGTTTTGCGCAGTTCAACGGGATTCGGCTATTCCGGTTGAGGCCAAAGATTCCGACATGCAGGAGTTGGAGCTTTGCCACCATTTTCTTCTTCTCTTCACTCCATGTGTGGCAGCGACTGATGACATCATTCAGCTCTTCCCAATTAGGACCGTCAAAGGTTTTGACGCCCAACTCAGCCCAAAACTCAGTGTGATCGATGTCCCAACCATCTTCCACAATTGGATCACAGTTGAATCCCGTAATTTCACCAAACTCGTGCAACGAAAATCTCACTGGTCTACCACCAATCAATGACCAAACCTCATTCTTCCTGTCCACACACAATTGGTTGGATATGAACTGATGCACCATGTTCGCACTCCAAACGTAATACTTAGCTGCAAGCTTGAAAATAGCTCCTATAGCACAAGTGTTCATGAGATCATTGTACACTTCATCACCAATAGCGTCCTTCAACTTCGCGAATTCAGTCAGGTGGGCGCCATAATTGAAGCTATGCTCTTGCAAAGGTGACTTTCCTGGCTGAAACATTCTTGGGGGATATTCATTCGAATCGCTGGAAGAAGCCATCTGTAAAAAATAAATTTTTTTAAATTAAGTCTATCATACAATATCAAATAAGTCTATCATATACATCAACATATCTATCATACATACCATATACACCACAAAAAAGTCTATCACATACTTAAAGTAAACAAGTCATCTTAAGACCAATATGAAACAACTCTACCATTCGGTTTTAACAAACACGAAACAACTCTACCATTGGGTTTTGACAAACACAAAACAACTCTACCATTGGGTTTTAACAAATACGAAACATGAAACAACTCTACCATTCATTTATATCAACGAACCTCAGAAAATCAGAAAAACTCCCATACGTGATACAATACAAGTCTATCATATTCAACAATAATGTCTATCATATTCAACAATACAAGTCTATCAAATATAATATATACCAGATACTTCAAAACTAGTCTACCAAACCCCCATCACTTAAGATATATCACCTAAGTTTATGAAAACTCACCTGCAATCCTTCGACAATCCGCCGTCGGAACCACCGCGGAAAAACTGTTTCCTACAACACCAAAAACAATTAGGGTTACAGATTTCTTCACAGCCGTTGGTCCGTTCTCGCCTGTATGCTCTCGCCAAAAGCCGCAAAGACGGAGAACAGTGACAGATGCGAGGACCGCAAAAGGAAATAACAAAATACAAATGAAAAGGAAAAGAACGACTTACCGGAGATGACGAAAACACCGGTAAGAACACCGGAGGAATGCAGACAAACTAAAATATCGTGGATCTGAAGAATCTTCGTCGTCGTCGTCGTCGAAGAAGGAGGAGGGGGAGAGAATCGAAATCACCACTAGGGTTTACTCGGGGGAGGGAAATAAACTAAAATGATTCTTTATTTTCCCTCCATCAATTAAATTCCCTTATATTTTCGAATTTTTTGTATTTTTTTGTATATTTGTGTATATATATATTTATGTATATATTATATATCTGTGTATAATTATGTATTTACGAAATTTTAAAAAATTCAACAAAAACAGTTTTTTTGATGTAAGGGACCTTGCTGTCTTTTCCATGCTGGTAAGGTTAGTGTAGCAAAAATGTAAGAAGGCTAGGTTACATGAGCAAACTGACCACTTTATAAAGTCATTCTAGTCAATCTATCAAAAAGTGTCAGAGAGGAAGTTGGAGGAATTGCACTACACCATGTGAAGAGTTATCTTCAGGTCCATTATTTTCTTAAATTTTTCATATGAATCAAAACTAACTTTAAGTTTATATAATTTTTTTTATCTTTGCAGAAGTTTAGACTCGAAAAATGCATACGGGACTTTATCAAAAAGAAAATTAAGTTGTATCTATATAAACATTTTTTTATTGTTCATATCAAAAATCTTATATAGTTTAGGTGGTAGATGCATGAATATCAAAATTTTGTTGTCGTGGGTTTGAGTCCTAACAGATGTTTTTTTTTTTTTGCCAAACCTTATCAAAACGATCTCATTTTTATTTACAGTGTTATGTAAGATATAAAGTCTCAACTCAGATTTTTCGGTAATGATTTAGTGGAGTTAAGCAGCGAGATTTAAGTTTATGTATGTTATGGTTATAAAAATTGTTATGTATTGATATTCTGATTATTAAGACCATCTCCAACCATGCACCAAAACACCAAATTTGGTGTTGATTCTTCTCCAATGATGCACCAAATGTTGCACCAAATTTTTTTTTTTTGGTGTTTTGTGAAAAGTGTTGCACCAAATTTGGTGCAACACTATTCACAACACTAAACATTAAAATATTATTTTTTCCATTTACTCAAATAATTATATTATTGTTTATTAATTAATTAAATTATATAGGTTTAAAGAGTGTAGGATCCATTCTTGTAATTTAGAATTGCACAAAATTTTGTTATTAATATGTAAATAAATTAAGATTAAAAATTCATAATAAAAATTAATTAAACATTTAAACATAAAATTACTAAATTAAAACAAAAAAACATTAAAAACAACTAAATACAATTATTTTTTAGTATTTTTTTATTGAATGTAATTTTTGTTCTTTATCACTGAATGTAATGTTATATCAAATTTATAGTTAATCTATTTTATGAATAGTAAGTACTTATCAAAATTATGAAAAATAAAGAGAATTTTAAATTTAATAATATAATAATATAATAATATAAAAAATTGTTTTTAGTGTGAGATTTGGTGTTGTGGTTGGAGATGAAAAAAAATACTATTCACTTTTATACCAAATTTTACACTATTCATGACACCAAATTTGATGATATGGTTGGAGATGGCCTAAGAGCTCGGATAATGATATGCAACCCACATTTCTCCGGTAGAAATTGATATCAGTTGTTGTTGTTGTGGTATTGTTCATACTTTCAAACAAGTCAAAACGAAATTTGCTACCCCTGCTCCTATTTATTAACTTATATAACCTCGGGCAGCATGCTTGTTGTGACTGTATGGTTTGGCTTTGTTGTTTAGCGAGTTGCCTCGTTGGTAAGGAACGTGATTCCCAAGTCACCAAGTGGATTATCATGTATTTCTTTTTCATGTTTTACAGTAATATGCGTAGACATGTCAACCAGCCCGAAACACAATGAAGTTCGTGTAAATTTGAGCACGGTCTGAATCTGATCTGAACCGAAATAAATGCCGAGCTTAGACCATCATTATCGACGTATATAGCTGGGTTTCTTAGATTTTTTTATTATTAAATTTTATGAAAGTTGAGCCATTTTTGTTAGAAACGTTTTTTATTTGACAACCAGAAGAAACGTTTTTTGTGCCAAGTGTCGAGCCAATACAGGCTAAAAATGTTGGGGAAAAATGTAAATCGTTTTTTTCTGGGTTTTTTTCTTCCCCCGACAAAATTCTTCTCTTGATTTCTCCTTGTTTTCTCGTCCTCCATGATCGACTCTTCCGGAATCGATCTCCGTCGCAAGGGAATCTCTGAGTCGTCCATCTCAGCCCAGTCGAATCGCTGAGTGTCTCATCGGAGATGTATACTTCATCTTACCCGATTAGTGATGGTGAAACTTCTTGCTTGGTGAGATGTTGAAATTGACGCTGGTGATCTTCCAGCCATGGCCGCCGCCGTAGAAATTGACGCTGAGATTCAGCAGCAGCTTACCAACGAGGTTAAGCTCTTCAACCGTTGGAGCTTTGATGATGTTTCGGTAATTTCCCCATCGATTCATTCTCTTTTTTTTTTTCTTACATTAAGTTTATTTGTCTGCAACTGTTTGGTTCTCTTCAGTCTCTCCTTCTGTTCTAGCCAATCTGCCCACTTTCAATCTGTCTGGGATCTTATCGTTGCCATCCTCAAACTAATTCATTAGATTTAGTTGTAATCTAGTCTTGTCTAATGGGTTCTTTCTCGTTGAATTGTGATAGGCATTGAAATTATTGGTCTCTTGTGATATGATAGTTACATTAGCTTCATTTTGTGAGTTAGGCCTCAACTTTCTTACGTACATCAAACTAACTCCTGGAAATTGATAGTATATCATTGTTTCTGATGTTCCCGTTTTGTATCCTGCCTGAGAAAGTGTTCTCTTTTTGTTAGCTTCTCACTTGCTTCCACACTCCCATAATCGGTTTATCCTTACGTAGTAAACTGGATTTCATTCTCTTAATCATCGTTTCAATGGAAATTGTTCTATTGCATTTGATGAGACATTGATCCAAATACATTTTAGTTGGTGTATGAATGAGTGAAGATGAACATTTGGAGCCAAATTGTATGGATTCTGGTTTTTTTTTTCCTTATCATAATTGGGTAACAAAGATTCTTGGTTTCTGGGTGTGATTCCTCTTGAAGTGAAGTTTGAGATGATAAAGAAACTAAAGCTTCTATCTTTTTTTGTTTTGCTCTTTTCATTTCTTGTTTTGAAAGGCGATGAGATTTGGTGATCTTCTTCATGGGCAACGGAAGTATCTGATCTCATACGCGAGACCGTTGGATCTGTTGAATCAGTGTTGCCTGCTGATTTATTGTGGAGAGAACCTCTGTTCGACCAGCTCATTGTCAATTTATACCAACCAGATAAGGTATAATACTTTCACGTAAACACTTGTTCACTTCTTTATTAGAAGAACCAATTGATCTTGATAAAGTTTCTAGGAGTAGTTTAAAGGTTACAAAATATGTAAAAACTGGATGATCTTTTAACAGGAGATAATGCAAAAGCTAGAAGAAACCAATAGAGTAACAGCTTGTTATGGTTTAGTCCTGCAGAAAAGAAAGAAGATGAAGATGTGGATGTTTTGTTGAGCCCAGGGTGTCTCATTCTCATGTCTGGAGATGCTCAGTATCGAGAAGAAAGTGATCAGAAACGAAGAATCTGCATCACCTTGAGAAAGCTATGTCAAGCTTAAATCTGGACTAGCTAATTTTAGTCATCTTTTTGTATATGTGATTAACTACTAATTTTAGTCATCTTTTTTTTATGTAATTAATTATCTTAAATAAAACATCTTTATTAAATTTTTTTAAGAAACTCAAATTAGTTTCTACCAATGCATCATACAACATATTAGGTTTCTTAATAAGGATTTGTAACCCAAATTTATTAATAAAAAATTGCTTAGAAACTCAATATAAGTTTCTCCGATAATGATGCTCTTATATTTTCAAGTCTGGTCAGCTCCAAATAGGGCTACATGTCATTCCAGGCTTTTAGGGCTTTTCGAAGTTTATATAACTCTTAAATTTGATTTTAATCATTTTATTGTTGTACAATCTATGTGTCATAAAAAAAAAATCAATCTACCATTTTTGTTGTTGTTATATTCGGATTTTTGCATTTAGAAAATTTCATACATGAAGCATAAAAAATACATTAGACTGTTAAAGCAACTTTCGAAAGGATGTTTCTATACAAGCTAGTGAATCAAAACTTGAACAATCATATATATGTTATATCAAATCTAATTTAATCTAAAAGCTAAAGTTTAAAACTAAATAAATGGTATAAAGTCCATACTAAATCAAACCTAAAATTAAAATATTAGATCTAGATAATATGTTGTTTGTTTGTTTCCTGCTGCAAGAGTTTGGGATTGCAACCAACGGCGAATCTAAAAAAGAAATTAGTTGGGGGATTATTTTATAAACAGGGAAAAAAATTTTGTTGGGGGCAACTTTTTATTTTTTACCACAAAATTAAAAAAAAAATTTACATAAATTATTTTAAAAAAAATAAAAAAATAGTAGAGGGCATGTGACCCCGTTTGGTATTAGCTACATCTGCCCCTGATTGCGACTAAGCCATGTTCGTTTACCTATAGTATTGGCTAGGCCATAGGTAATGATATGCATATAAAAAATTTAGACGCTGAAAATTCAGTGTTTCAAAGAATCTTGTTGCGATCAGTTCCACAACCAGCCGCAGGTTGCCAAACAAACAATAACCACTTGTGTGACTGCACAATAGTGGCAGACAAACGAAGAAACCCAAAAGCTATGTTAGTGTATTTAACTCTTCATTACCAGGAAACTCTACATTTAGAAATCCTTTAACAAATCCTATAATTGAATCAAAATAATTTAGAAATATTTAATTTAGGCTGGGTCCGGGCTTTAGCTAAAATGTCTTAACTATGCGCTATTCGTGGAGATACTAAATCATTTTTGTATTCCGGTTTACTAATTTTGGTGTGAGTAATTTTTTTTCTACAACTGTTCATAATTTCTTTCACAATAAAATGCTTGTACTCGATCTAAAAGGCATGTAAATTCAATATTATATTCCGACGATGTAGAAAAAGAAAAGTCTTTATTGACATTGGTTTCTTCTATCTATTATATATATTCCATTTTATCTTGAAATCAAAGGCAAAGCCTTCAACACTAGGAAGACGACAATGGAAGAGCCATTTCTTCAAAGAGGCGAGGAGTTAATCTCCGGTACAACGACATGGCAAAGAAGCCAGCTCACCGTCGAGCTGAAGAAAGTTTGCCTCTTGGCCGCTCCTATGGCCACCGTGACCATTTCTCAATACCTTTTGCCTGTCATCTCAATCATGGTCGCCGGCCACAACGGCGAGCTCCAGCTCTCCGGCGTCGCTCTTGCCACCTCCTTCACAAATGTATCCGGTTTCAGCATTATGGTAAGTAATTATGCTATTACTCACTCCTTTTCAATTCAAGAATCCAATCGTGACTCAAATCTTGAAAACGCTTTGTGCAGTGGGGGTTAGTGGGTGCTTTGGAGACTCTTTGTGGCCAAGCTTATGGAGCCAAACAATACGAAAAAATCGGAACCTACACATACGCAGCAATCGCCTCCAACATCCCAATTTGTTTCCTAATATCAATTCTATGGATTTACATCGACAAGCTTTTAATCTTTCTCGGACAAGACCCTGACATCTCCAGAGTAGCAGACTCCTACGCCTTTTGGCTCATACCGGCTTTGTTCGGCCAAGCGGTTGCCATACCACTAAACCGGTTTCTGATGACACAAGGGTTGGTTCTTCCTCTGCTCTACGCTGCCGTGGCCACCCTTTTATTCTACATCCCGGTTTGCTGGACTTTGGTTTCCGTGTTTGGTCTGGGAAGCAATGGAGCTGCTTTGGCTATTAGTATGTCTTTCTGGTTTTATGCGTTGATACTTGCATGCTATGTGAGATTCTCCAGCTCTTGTGAGAAGACTCGCGGCTTTGTATCCGATGATTTCGTGTCTTGTGTCAAACAGTTCTTCCATTACGGAGTCCCATCAGCAGCAATGTTGTGGTAAGTCAAACTTAAGTTTCTTGTTGGTCAAGCTACATACATTAATGCTTCATCTTATCCTCGCTTGTATTTTTTTTTTCATATTTTTAACCTTTATAGCCTAGAATGGTGGCTATTTGAGCTACTCATACTCTGCTCAGGACTTCTTCCCAACCCGAAACTCGAGACCTCTGTTCTTTCAATATGGTAAGTAAAATCGACACATACACTTACACCTCTACCTTTTCTTTTCTCTTTATTGACAAGTATAGATCCTATTTCTTTCATGTTAGTCTTACAACTGAAACTTTGCACTATGTAATTGCAAATGGAGTCGCGGCGGCTGTGAGGTAAGATCTCAATTCTTAATCCAAAGGAGCCTTTAAATTCCTTCCTCAACATTAGTCATTAATTGGTTTCTTGCAGCACACGCGTGTCAAACAACCTGGGAGCTGAGAATCTTCAAGTCGCTAGGTTATCAGTAATGGCAGGGCTTTGTCTCTGGCTGATAGAGTCTATTTGCTTTAGCACACTTCTCTTCACCTGCAGGAACATAATAGGCTACGCATTCAACAACAGCAAAGAAGTTGTGGACTATGTCGCGGACCTATCTCCTTTGCTCTGTCTTTCTTTTATCCTCGACGGATTTACTGCAGTCCTCAATGGTGTTGCTAGGGGAAGTGGTTGGCAACACATTGGAGCTTGGAACAACGTGGTGGCTTATTATCTCGTTGGAGCTCCGGTTGGAGTTTACTTAGCTTTCAGTTGGGGATTCAACGGAAAAGGACTATGGTGCGGTGTTGTGGTTGGATCCGCTGTCCAAGCCACTATACTAGCTATTGTCACAGGTTCTATGAATTGGAAAGAACAGGTTAGATACTTGAAATAGAAGATTATTCATTTCAGCTTGTCACAATTTCACATTTTTATTTTCATTTTATGCTTTGAAGTAATTGAAACCAATGATTTGCAGGCTGAGAAGGCGAGGAAGAGAATAGTCTCAAGTGAAAATAGATTAGCATAAATGAAGGGCTTTTCTTTAATTTTGGTATACAAATGTAATTGTTTTATTATAAACAAATGAATAAGAAAACCTCATGAGTGGATGATCAGTCCAAATTTCTTAGGTATCATTCAAGGTTCCGACTCATTTCCGATGTGAGATTCTTAACATCATTGGTTCCAAACCGGAATAATCCCTTGTGCAGCGAGGCGCTTCTCGACCCAGAACACAACGTGGTTCGCAGTTGGTTTCCTCTCATCGACCAGAAATGGCTCTACTGTGCTTGGACCTGACCCGTATGAGGAAATTGAAAACCCCTTTGCTCCTGCTTTGCAAAACACAAACAAAGACACAATTTGTGACATTGAACTTTGCAGTATCAAAGTATCTGAAGCAAATGATTACCTGTGAGGTTTCCAGTGGGGAAGAAGGCCCAGAAGGAATATTGAATACCTTTCTTCAAGAAATAACCCTCCAGCTATAATCAAACAAGTTAAATTAGAAATGAATCAATGATGATGATGATGATGATGATGATGAATAATTGGCACATAATTTAGTTTAGAATCAAGAACCTTATCGTCTTGGAAAGATAATTCAAGGTCAGAGATATCATCTTGAGCTTCAAGAATTGCTTTTAATGGAGGAATTACGTCTTCATCCATCATCTCTCTTAGCGGTTTCACCACTGCTGCTTTCGCAGCTGCGGGTTTCGGTTTCTTTGCCGGAACCTCCACTGTTGAGTCTTTTTCTTCTTTGTCTTTCTTCTCGGTAGCAACTATGAGAGAACAAGAATGTTACTTTCTTGTGTTTGTTGATGTTTTCAAGAAACCAACAAACATTCTGTTTTATAGATTACCAGCAGAAGTAGAAGATTCTTGCACGGCACAACGCAACTGGTTATCCTTTTTGTTACCTGGTGGCTGCAAGAAGAGAGACAAATTCAAAATCTGAATCATACTGTATCGATTCAGATGAGATTACTAAATCCATGGAAATCAAAAAGACATTACAGACCAATGTTAATGGTGGAAACAGAGAAGAGGAAGAAAGAGTTGGTGTGGTTATAGAGATACGAGAGTTGGTGACTCCAAATGTTCCTCCAGCCATTGCTGCCATCTTCAGGAAATAAACAAAAACTGTTACAAGATTTGTTACTCTCGACTCTTAGATTCTCTCCATCTTCTTCATCCTCAAACTAAAACTTTAAAAAAAAATTTTAGTGGAGCAAAGCGAAAGAAAAGAAGTGGAAATAAGACAAATGTGAAAAAGGCAGAGCCTAAGAGTTGCCAACCACACACGCACAAAAAGGATATAACATATTATAATAACAAAACAAAGACTGCATAAAAACTTCCAGCAATTATTTTCATCCCAGAAGTTTTATATTTAACAACATTTATTTCTAGAACAACACATGCATCACCTTTTTAAACTTATGTAGAAAAATGCTAAAAGCTTATGTAGATAAACATAGGTTCATGACCATATATATGTTTTCTATATAATTAACATAGTAGTAATCTAATTAACAAAATTAAGTCAATAACCATTTGACTAAACATAATAACGAAAAAATACATGAAATTTTGATATTCTTTAAGGTTTCATAATCTTCTTTCCTCTAGTATTCAAACTAGAGCAATAGCAATATCTATCAATTTGAATTAAGTAAGTAATAAACTAAGGATTCAAAACTAGATAAGTATGAAAGAGAAATAAAAAAGCCCATTAAATAATACCTTTTTTTCAAATAACTACATAAAAATTGTCATTGGCCTCAAAACTGTGTTATCAATGAAGAATATTGTTCATCAATCACCTACTATTGACATTGTTTATCCAAAGTTGATAATATTATTGGTCATCAAAGAGTGTAATATTTGATACTTATTAGCGTATTAATAATAATATTTGATAATGTTAACAAAAATAGGTGATACTTGTTAATGTGCTAACAATATATAATATGTGATATTTGTAACAAGTTAATATAGTATGTTAACATATTAACAATAATATATGATACTTGTAACATGTCAGTAATAACATCTGATCTAATGTTATTTTTGTTACCATGCTATCAAGTATTGGATAGCAAGTTAACAAAAATTATTTATTATTATTAACAAATTAATAAATATCAAATATTTAACACATATTACTGTTACTATGCTAATATCAGAAATTATTTTTGGCATGCTAACAAGTATCAGATGAGATTTTAATAAGTATCAAACTGTATTTTAACATGTATTGTATATATTTGTTAATAATATTGTTAGAAAGCTTAACAAGTATTGGATATTATATATTCTAATGATGAATAGTATCGTCGACTTTGGATAGTATCGATGTGTCTAATATAAAGATAAGGGTCACGAAACACACCGTTATTTAATGTTTTTTTGTATTGAAATCCAATTTTATCAATTTTTTTGATCATTCCAAATTTATAGGATTTCTTAATTTTAACTACGAAACACAGCTTTTGAATAAATAAACGTGAGTTTTTGGTATATAATTTAATTTAGAGTTTAAATATTTATTTAATTCTCAAGGGTTTATAGCATTATTTTAATTATAGTTTACAAAAACACAGTTTTTATATATAAATATTGATTTTAATTTAAAATTTAATTATACGAGTCATAATTGCGAGATTCTCAGTTTTAAGTAAATACTAGATTTTAACCCCGTGTGGACGCACGGGAATGTTTTATTTTTTATTTATAATATAAGTTGCATTTATCTTTTTTGTTTAGATATCATTTGTTTTTGTTATTTATTTTTTTAAATCAAAAAAATGTTATCATATTTTAATTTTAAACAGTAAAATTTATATATTAGTAGAATAAGAATATACGTTAATTAAGTATACATTGATCTAATGTTAATTATAAATTTTGTTATTATGTGAATTTAAATTTACATATAAACAATCTTTAGATCTATAAATTTGCTAATCCATCTGTTTAGTTGTCTTAAATCATTTTTAATATTTTACATTTTTTGACAAACTAATCCGTATAAGATTATAATTATAATTGTATAACTCTATAAATATTTACTAATATAGAATATTTGGACCAATTGATTATGAAAAAATATAATAAGATATTTATTTACTATTTGTGCTATTAAAAATGTATGTATATATATATATATATAAACTGGCTAAGCTGTTAGTTTAATTGTCTCAAATCATCTTAATATCTTACATGTTTTAATAAATTAACTCATGGACCTTAAATATATATATATATATATAACTCTAATCAGCTCGATCATATTATTGTATAATATAAATATTTATTAATCTCAAATATTTGATATTTTAGACCGATTGTTTATGATAAAATATGAAAAAATATTTATTTATTATGCATTTTTATAAAAATATTATTTAAATTTAAAATTTTAAATTAAATCTTTCCTGTATTTAAGAAATTCTAAAGTATTAAAATTATTATCTAAATTTTCGTAATAAATTTAATTATAATTTTTTTGATTTTTTTGAATTTAAATTAAATTGAATGCAAATTTTTGTAACTAAATTTAATTAAATTTCTAATAATTTGAAATTTAAATTAAAGATGACCTAGATTTTAGGAAATCTAAAAATATCTAAATTAATAACTAATTTTTGGAAATTAAATATAAAAATAATATAAAATATTATAAAAAACATTTTGGGAGTGTTTGGATGCAAGCACTAAATGTGCTTCTGTTTTAATAGAATAGATTTATCTACATTTGCTTATCACGCAAATCCTAGTGTAGTGTTTGAAAATTTTTACAATTCAGAATATATTTAAAAAAAAATGTACATAAGTAGTATGTCGTTTAAATGATTTTATGATTTTATATCTTTCTTAAGAATTTTTTCTTCTTCCATCTCTCCCTCCAAAAAGAGATTCTCCTAAAATAAAGATGGAAGGGCAGAAGATCTAAATATAAAGCCTATGGGCCTTTTGGTATAAAGCGGACCAATCCAAATTGTTAAAACCATTTTCAGCCCAGATAAATCGTGGCCGTTGATTAGAAAGCCCAAGAAGGAGTCTTCTTCTAGGGTTTTTCTTATAAGTTCTCGCATTTAGGTCATTCCGCCTCTTGTCTTGTCTTCACTCCTCTCACACCAAAGCTTCGCTTACGCTTAGCAACAACAATCAAACAATGGTAAGCCCTAGCTTTTCGCTCCTCTCTTCTTCTTCGTTTTTCGCCGTAGATCGAATTAGTTCTCCATTTCATTTCCTGAAGAAATCTCCTGTGCTTTGTTTCTCCAGCGTTTCCTTAGTTTTTTTCATACATTTTTTGAAGCTATGGTAAGGAGAAACAATGAGCTTATGGCTATATTCGTCATGGGTTTTTATTATTCCATTTTTATTTAGGATTTGATTTCAAGTTCGGTGCTTTATCATTTAGAACTACAAAAAGAGTCACAGATGCGTTTAAATTGATATATTCTGCTAGATCTTTGTTACCTTCGGAAGAATAGTTATATCGTTAGATCTTAGGATTTAATTAGGGTTTTTGTTTTATGATAGACTAATAAAAATAAGACGATTTCTATTGATAGGTGTTTGTGAAGCCATCCAAGTCGAATGCTTACTTCAAGAGGTACCAAGTCAAGTTCAGGAGAAGGAGAGGTATTGATTCATCATTAGTTTCTTGCTTATGTTGTCTCTGCGCTCTTTGTTCAATGCGTTCTGAAAGTTAATTCTATTTTTTTTTTTGCAGACGGAAAGACTGATTACAGAGCTAGAATCCGTCTCATCAACCAGGACAAGAACAAGTACAACACACCAAAGTACCGTTTTGTTGTCCGTTTCACCAACAAAGACATTGTTGCACAAATCGTGTCTGCAAGCATAGCCGGTGACATTGTCAAGGCTTCTGCTTATGCACATGAGCTGCCTCATTATGGACTCACTGTTGGACTCACAAACTATGCTGCAGGTGTTGAATCAGACCTATGCTTTACTTTTCTGGTTTTAGATGGTTGATTCTATGTTTATGGTTTGCTAAAGAGTGTTGTTCTTTTGTGTATGATCAGCGTACTGTACTGGCCTTCTCTTGGCTCGCCGTGTTTTGAAGATGTTGGAAATGGATGCTGAGTATGAGGGCAACGTAGAGGTATGCTGTGAACTTTGTTTCATATCTCTGACTTAGGTTTTATTGCTGGTTTAATCTCAATCTTACCTTTATTATCAGGCCACTGGAGAGGACTTTTCTGTGGAACCAACTGAGTCAAGGAGACCATTCCGTGCTCTTCTTGATGTTGGACTTATCAGGACCACGACTGGAAACCGTGTTTTCGGTGCACTCAAGGTAGAAAGCTGTTCTTGTCAATTAATTGTGTTTTGTCATGAGCAAACAATGTGTTAGCGTGTTCTTATGATTTGTGTTGTGTTTTTCATAGGGAGCTTTGGACGGAGGACTTGATATCCCGCACAGTGACAAGAGATTTGCTGGATTCAACAAGGAAAGCAAACAACTTGATGCTGAGATCCACAGGAACTACATCTATGGTGGCCATGTCTCAAACTACATGAAGCTGTTGACAGAAGACGAGCCAGAGAAGTTCCAGACTCATTTCAGTCAGTACGTTAAGAAAGGAGTTGACGCTGAGAACATCGAGGAGCTGTACAAGAAGGTTCATGCAGCTATCCGTGCTGACCCCAACCCAAAGAAAACCGTCAAGGCTGCTCCAAAGGAACACAAGAGGTAAAAACCTATAATCACTTCATTTATCTTTTCTTGTAACGTTATTGTCATTAGTGTCTCATTGGGTTTTTTTTTTTTTTGACAAACAGGTACAACTTGAAGAAGTTGACCTACGAAGAAAGGAAGAACAAGTTGATCGAGAGAGTCAAGGCATTGAACGGAGCAGGTGGTGATGACGATGATGAGGACGACGAAGAGTAAATCACTGCAGTTTCTATTGCTTCATGCCTCTTGTAGCTTTTTACTTCTTGAGCTTAATGCCTCAAATTTTCTATTTTCAGACTAAAAACTCTGTTTTTGTCTTCACATTACTATTGCGTTCGAGGATTTTGGTTTTGAGGATACTTTTCCTTTTAAGAATTTATTATCTTTTTTCACATTATCTTATATTTGCCTGTTACTGTTTTCAATCTTAATGTCTAGTTTTATTCATTACTCTAAATTAGTCGATCATTATTGGCCACTGTTTGGTTTAATTTTATCAGTAAATCTGATATACGAGAATAGGATCGATCAAACCATTAATATACTCTTTTGTAAACAAAACCTCGAGTTTGCAAATATATCTTCATTATCAAAAGAATAGCATTCAATATCTGAAGTTCGAAAAGCAAAGAACAAATTCTAAGGATCAAACCCATAATCAAAAACTAGTTGTTGAAGCAACTACTAGTCTAATATTACTCTTCCTTCTCGCGCAAGTCATTTTCCAAGCAAGCTCTTCTAAAGCTCTGATTGATCCATATCTTCATCAAGGTCTTTTATCTTTACTTCAGAGTCTTCACCAAACTGAATGCACTTGTCGATTTCAGACAGTACATATTGAATGCTGCCCACAAAACATTTTTCAGCGTCATTTTTAGTTTGGTATCAAATGCTCAGGTAAGTAACTAAAGAAAGGAAATGATTTTGAGTTTACCTCTTCTCTTTTCTCAAATCAAGTGGCGTGAACCTCACCATACTGTACTCTTCCACCTAACACATTCAAAATGAAAGATTCATCATCCAAACTCGTTAATAAAAGTTCAATTGTACAATATAAAAAGTTACAAAACCCATACCAATTCAATTAAGGCTTTGTTCAGTTTTGCAAATTGAGGACCCATCCTATGGTTTAACTCAGACAGCAATGTGCGAGGCACCGGATCCAAGTATCTATATATGTCAAACCACACAAGGAAATCAAATTAGAAATTCCAGAGACAGGCACAAAACGTGGTAGGGTATTGGAAGAAGAACAGAGAAAGCAGATTCACCCTTCAATGCTGCTTTTATCCTTCAAGAGATCCATCTTCGAGAGGATGTTAACATGAGGCAGTTCAAGCTGGATCATTGCAGAAAGAGAAACCATACATCCGCTGATAAACTTGGTTACATCTGTTACAAACTGATCCAAAATATTCTCTTTTATGTCAAAAACACCTAATGGTTTTTGCTAAAAACTCAAATACGTCCATAATCAAAAGTAAGGGAAGAAAAAACATTTTTTGTAAACCTGTGAATCAAGCAAATAAACAGCACAAACACTGAAGTTCTTCTGCTTCAAATGCTCCACAAAGTTCTTGAGCACAGGTACATGTGTAAAAATCTCTATCTGGCCTATAATCACAACATGATTATGCAACTTAAACAATCATTGACCAAAGATGTAGAGAAACTCTTTAGGTTCTATAAGAGCTAGAAGAGTCACCTGGACAGTCAAAGACTAAGTAATCATCGTCTGCGAAGTTCTCCAATTCTTCATCTAACCAATTATATAGACTGTCCTCAAGGTAACTATGAATTATAAATTTAAGGTACTTCCAGCTTCCACTCAGTATATTTTGTGATAACACAAAAAAAGCACAATCACATAGTGCTAAAACGCAATTAAAGGCCTCATCTAGGCGTAAATAGTACTTTTTATCTTAAGGTTTTTAAAGAAAGGATACTCCATACAACGCATGAGACCATAATTGGGACCACACTTTAGCTCCTCCATAACATCCTCCACAGAGACAAGCTCTCGGATATCTACATCAAGACAAGAACCGGTGAAACAGAGAAAACGAAAGACAGACTCTGAAGAAGCAAAAGGCAATGAATTTGAGTGACAGAGAACTCACCCATTGCCACAGGATAACTAAAGACTTCAGCAGCGGGATCCAAGTTCACGATATGCATTGTTCGTCCGATAGTTTCACAATGTTGGTGTAAAGATGAGCAATAAGTTGACTGCTCCAACAACATAAAAACCATTTTAGTAAAAATTTGGATTATAACTTCAACTTGCATTCTTGTTTCCTTCAATTTCAATTGAAAGCAGAGATGATTTGAATTAAAGAACAAACCTTTCCGCAACCTGCAGGTCCGATTACGAGCTGTGCATAACCCATGATAGCAGCAACCTCTCTCACACAAACTCAAAAGGAATCGAGAGTGTTGAGGAAATTCCTAAATTATGCAATAATAGCATTAAAATCAAAATGTAAGAACTTTTAAAGACTACAACTATGAAAAGATCATTCCTTTTGCGTATCTGATTCTAAAGCAAAATCATTTTGTACCACAAACAAGAGTTAGGTTTTAGTTGCATGAATCCGTAAAGCTGATCAAACTATAACAGGGGACGAGACAATCTAAGCGAGGAATTACGAATATAAAAAACTCTAATCAACTTTTAGAGAACAAACAGAAATCTTAACGCTGAATGTATATGCAACAACGAATGCTAATGAGCTTTAAGAAAGCACACACATTCATTACCATAAGAAAAAAAATTTCTTTTTTGAATAAAAAGAAAAAAAAATTTCTTGCTCAAAAGGAAACAAAAACACAGACAGAAAGTAACAGAAAATCACAAACCCGTTGTCAAAAACTGAAATCCCGAGTCGACAGAGAAATAAAGATGCAAACTTTGTTGAGATCATAAAAGAAACTGCGAAGATCAAAATCTATTTTAATGTGGTAAAAGAAAACGAACAAGTTTTGGGAAAAATTAATTTTGGGAGCTTTCTATCATAAGAAATAAATTGGAGGGCCATTTATCAAAAAACAAAATTCATTTTTAAGGCCAACTTTTTTGAGGCCATTTTCTCATTTTTCTCATTTTTTTTCAACTTAAAAAATAGAAAAATATAACACATCTGTTGTTTTCTCTCTCAAACTTTAGAAAGAGAAAGTTCTCTCAACTTTTCTGCGTTTCCTCTTTTGGCCGGTGACCGGTGTTATTCCGACCCGACACTGTGCTGTTTATATCTTCGGTAAATAAATTCCGGTTGATCCGAATCTCTTTCCCTTGTAATCTTTTTCATCTTTTTGTTTTGTTGATTTCCGTTTATCGGATAAAATTTCTGACTTGGTTTGGATCTTATCTTCCGGCTGAGACCGGATTTCTCACCTTTTGCTTCTCTTTCTCGGCTGTTTTCTGCTTGTCGGAATTGCTGTTTTTTTTTTAACTTTTATTTCAGGTTTTCTTCTTTGCGAGGAGTAATCTTTGTTGTTATCCTCTTGCTCATCACTCGGAGCAACAACGGGACAGAGCTCAGACCAATAAATTGGGTCTGAACGGCGACGAAGCTTCCTTGGAGGAGGAGATTTGGAAAAAGTTCAAAAGCGGTTTCATTTCTATTTCAGTTTTATTTTCCGATGAGTAATTTCGAAGATATGAAGGATAACAAAAGGTTAGCATCTTGGTACAAAATTTCTTGCTGTGGAGGTTAGAGTCACTAGAGATGCAGTTCACCGGAGTTTGCAGTCGCCGGCAGCAAAGAGTGGTGACGGAAGCATCATCGATTACGCAGACAAGCCTGGAGCAAGACACCTGTTTTCTCTTTGTTTCAAGAGATAACGTGTGTCACTACACGTGTTTGGATTATGTATCTTTTATAGGCCTTGTATGTTTGGGCTTCTCTTGTACCATGTATGCTCGGTACCTTTGGGCTCTAATGAATCAGATAGTCGATAAAAAAAACTCTAAAAATAGCAAAAAAGTAAAACTCAAAGGAAAAGAGATTTTTTTTAGATTACCACATGTAAAACATATCAAAATTCCTACTCGAATGGATTATGAATGATGTTATTATATGGGAGAACCCCCCCCCCCCCCTCCACGGCCCTCCTTTCCTTATATGGGAGGAAGAACCAGGTGCTTGTATTCCAGTGGTTTGAGAATTCCATTAGTATGTATATGTGTTTTATCTATCTGGGTTTGAATTTTCTAACCACTTTTCTACGATTAAATTAGCAAATTGCTGATGTGTTTCACAGTTGTTGAACCGCTGGTAATTAATCTTGGCTCTGGAAAGCCTTTGAATCCACCAATTTTTATTTTAAAAAAAAATTTGATATATGGGAGAACCATTTAGAACATTTATAATGAAAGGTTTTAAGGGATTCTTAGTAATTAATTAATAAGAAAATTAAGAGAAAATGCAATTTAATGCTAGAACCAATTCTTATTTAAGAGCTCTTAGAACCCCTAAAAATCTGTGACGTGTTGGACTGTGATTAGTAAAAAGTTTTTAATTTTTTTTTTCTCATTTGTATTCTTTCTCTCAATCTACATTCTTTCTCGGTTTGCTTTATTCTTAAGAATCCTAAGTGGGATTCTACCATTGAGTAAGAACTGTTAATGAGGTTTTCATTTAAAAATCTTCAAAATTATTATTAAAAGTAATGGTAGGGATTCTTACCATTCGAGATGATCTTATAGATTGATAGCATAGAATCAGTGCATGTTATGTGGTATATGAATTGGCAAATGCGTTATTAAACCATTAAAAATTGCATATATCTTCCATTACCGACGAAAAGTGATTTTTTACATATTAAAAAAAGTTTACATAGTTAGAGTGTAACTTAATTTGATAACCACTTAGGTGGATACAATTTGATAGAATAGAAGTATAGAACTTGGAGAGGTCCTCTCTTTGCTAATAAATGTGTTGGTTTATTGGTTTATCTCTTTGTATGTTGGAACATGCTTCCATGAAACATACTTACTCCTCCAATCATCAATGTGGTAACAAATGTTTTCGATGTTATAATCTGCAAATTTCTCATGTATGAAATTTATATAAAAATTTACAATATCCTTCAAAACAGTGATCTTAATCTCGTATTCCAAACTTGTTGCATTACGATAAGCGTTTTTGTAGTTCAAAATGATAATGATTCCCTAAAACGTTGTATGTCGTGATTATCTCGAACAATTCAACTAGACATTGAATGATGTGCTTCATGATTCGAACATGCATCAAAGTTGAAATTATACGTTCCAAGCGTTGGCCATTGCCAACAAAAACTGTCATGAAGCTTGATGGACCACTGTCGAATTCGCACTCGAACTTATGTTTTGCATTGGACTCTTTGAACTTAAGGCTTCTAACCGTTCATGGACATCTATTATCGCACTTTGGAAGGCTCGATTTTAAACGGTTTAAGACTTATAAACGCTTGTTTCATCATATTAGTTTCGGTGAACCTCTAAACCAAGTGAACTAAACTTAATTTCCAATTTTAAACTAAACCCAAGATTATCAAAATCAAAGCTCCTATTGGTAATATATTTGTAGAAACATGAAATCGCGGAAAATAAAATAGAGTTGCAGAACGAAATCAAAATTTTGAGTCATGCGATTTCATGCCGGATTTAACATGTCTAAACAATGTACGTTAAAGAGAATTCGAAAAACAGATTAGCAGTAGTAATGATTTTAAAAATTATCACTAGACTGTCTCTATCATTTAATCCAATATGTCAGAAGTTTCAGTGGAATCTCGAGCTTCGAGGCTTGTTCTTTGGATGCACCGCCATATACAGAAAAATAAAAAACAAAAACAAATAAATAGAAAAACAAACTTGGGTACATAATTATTGTTCAATAATACGACAAATGCAAACACTCATATGTCTAGTAGTAGTGTTTATACACTACGTTAGATATAAATTATTGCAACAACATAACTAATCGAATTATTATCATAAATAGAAGTAAGTCTCTCATGCATAGTAGAATTCATCAAATGTGGTAATTACAGGTGGCCACATGCTAATATTTTCGTATTTTTAATCCAAATTATAATGATGGAGCCACTTACGAGATCTCCGCGAAGAGTCAAACTTGTTGTTTATTAATGTTTGCTACATTATTATAATGAGAAAAAAGGTCCATCATTATGTTTATGGCAAATGATTTAGAATCCTTCCCGTTGTTTATTTTGTTGTTTCGTGCTAATAAATATTATTCAGAGTTTTAAGAACAATATAGATACTTCTACACTTCTATTACGGTACAACTGTCATCGGTAGGGGCTTGTTGTTGTATTGATATTATATACATGTCACACACATGAGTCTTGTATAGTTGATAAAAAAAAATGATTAGTACTGTACTATTCAGAATGCGCATTTCTTAATATTTGGATTTAATCTTATAAGAATTACTACAACTCTAGAATACAAAATGTTGTACTGAGAAACAAATCCATATTTTGAGACCATGGATGGTACTCTATAGACAAAAATATTTTAAAAATTTCTATTGCAAATTATATTTAACAAAAATCTTACAATTTTTATAAATGTTAGTTAGAGAGTCTATTTTATCATAAGGAGACAAATTAAAACTTGGGAAATAATGGCTTTTATTTACACACACGTATACTAAGAAAATGCAATCATTTCTGTAATTGTTATGACGATATTGTTTTGTATTTTTTATTTTATTTTTAAATATTAAAGCACTTGATATCACTTCTCAAGTTTCGATTTTGAAGACAATGTTTTAATGCCGAGATATGCCAACATCCACAAAATCAAAATGCTCGTAGAGTTACAACTTTTCAACTAGAATGGCTCATGTATGCTATTTCCAAGTTCAAATCCGTTGAATCATGCTTCAAACTCAATTGAAGAGTGAACTCAACAAAATTGAAGTTATTACCTATGCTCGTTGACATTTTTCAAACCTTGTTTTTACCGGTCTAAAAATACCACACACAATCGTTAAGTAATTGTTATTTGTTTTCCGTTAGCAGTTAACATTGCTAGCTTTCTAGGTTTTGGTTTGTATAGTTAGAAATATTATGAGTATCGATTTGGATGGTTAGAATATTATGAGTACTGATTTATATAGTTAGAATACTTGGAGTTAAATTTTTTTTTTATGGTAGTGTAAAATTTTCAAAGACTGCAGAACAAGATTCCACTCAAAAAAAAAACGTAGGTTCCAACTGGTGATCATAATTAAGGAATGGAATGATGAGGAATGTGCTATTCTTCTCCATTCCTAAATTTTTTTACCATTTAAAAAAAATAACTATTACATGTCCTTCTTTTTTATTCTTTTTCATTCCTGTTTTAAAATGGAATGATAAAACAAATGTAATCCTTATCAAATTTATTAAGGAACGAAAGGAAGGCAAAAAGGTAACTAATAAAAGTATACTAAATATATTGTTCCATTCATTCTCTACAATTTTTTGGATACCATTTACTGTGACAATTTATTACATTTTTTCTCTACATTTATTCCTTTTAATTTGTTCATATTCTTTTTTTCATTCTTTTTCTCTATCATTTTTATTATTCTTGAAATGGTCACCAGTTGGAGCCGTAAAGAAATCATTTAAAATATGGAAGGTTCTAAAGGGAATCTGGCAGTCGAATAACTTTGACAGTTTCTACATGGCTTTAGCTAGCGGAGAGAGTCATGAAAACTAGACTAACAGTTGACACGGACGGTGAGATTCGGCAGGCTATGTAGTACAATTACTTATCATTCTTATTAAGTAAAAATAAGGATGCTATAAGTAGGGAAAAAAAGAGAGAAGATCGTATAATCGACGTGCATGCTTTCAACTTTGTGTGATTATTTGTAAATAACCAAATATAAGAGTCAAGTTTGTAATTTTTCTTACATCCTCCATAAATAAAAAAATTCACCTATATGGTCGATGTGATATAAATAGAAGTGTGATTGTTCTGGATGATAATAATTTCGCATCATTGCATTTTGCAGCTAAAAAAGGACAAGGAGCGCCTAATTGACTTTTAATGTTTTTAAAAGACAACATTAATTTATTATTTCCACATATCTTTATTTGAAAGACTTCCGTTATATAAACTTTACTAAATTTACTATCGGATAAAATAGGTTAGTGGTTAAGTTCAAGGATTGATTCTATATGCTCCTAGTTTGATTCTCGGTTGGAGGGATGCTTTACGCCATATCATCAGATATTAGCAAAAACTGATTCTGGACTTTTGGAGGAAAGAAGGATTAAGGTCTAGGTCCGAACTTCCTCCTAGTTAAAAAAAAAAGCTTTACTAAATTTTATTCTATGCAAGCACAGAAATATATTTTTTGTTTATCGAATATCATATCAAATTGGATGTTAACTATTGAATGGATATCTCAACTATTTGAGATATTCATTTGGTAAAAAAAAAATTATTTGAGATATTCATCTAATATTTTATAATTATAATTTTTTAATATTTTTTTAGATATTCAAATGAAAACCTCCCAATAAAAATGATTTTATATTATCTTAAAACAAAATAAACGATGTTAATAAATTCCTTTTTATATTGTCTTAAAACACAAATAACGGTGTTAACAAATTCTCTTTTATTCGAACTATTTTGCTTGAAAAACTGAGGTCACAGTCACAGACTCAGAGAAAAAGAATTTTTTTTTAAAAAAAAGAAGAGAGTGAACTTAGGTCTTTTACAACGTAATGTAAAGTATACATTTCATTTTCAGTGTGTCGGTGGCCTTACTGATGCTCTGGTACTGTTACATTTTCGATACCTTCCCCACGTGCTCAATTGTTCTTCTCCTTTTTTTTTTGTTTACTCAAATTATAGTTTTCTTACATTGCACCTCATATTTTTTTTAAAAAAAAAAACT